TAGCTGTAAACCGAGGCGGTAAAGCGACCCGTGTAGAAGCTTCATGGAAGCATTTCAGCGAATGAAAATATCCAAGCGACGGTATCGTGAGATTTCAAAGTCGATTTCTGCATACCTTTTTGTAAGGCCGCTGCACGACAAAATAGGAACTTCTCTCGACAAGGACGCTAACGAATGAAAAGTCCGCCCCGGGAACACCTAGTGAGGAAAAAAAAACAACAATAGAGGCGTATTATTTTTTTGAAAAAACTTTTAAAGCAAGAGCACTACAGGCACAGAGGCGGAATATTTCGAAGCGAGGAGATCCGCTGTGATTCGCGAATTTAACGTTAGATATGGATTTATGGCTCGAGCTACAATTGCTTTGACATTTGAAATTTTTAGAATTTATAATTTAATGTAAATTAAATATAACTTAACTTATAAAATGATTCGTAAGAGACTCCGTTATTTTCTGTAACGTTGAAAGGGGTGCTTTTCTCAATTGGAGATTAAATTACAAAGGGAAGCTTGAAGTTTTTCAAGTACGTACAATTTTGTGCAGAGATATTTACAATTCCTTTGTTTAAAATTTTTTCCCTCAGATTGAATCTGAATTATTTATGTAGTATAACACGGATAACAAGCTTGAAGATTTAAAGACAACACGGGGTTCGTTTTTAGCTATCAGTAGTGCAAGCAAGGCAGACTTATTTAAGAAACTCTTGCAGAATCATTTTTGTAATGTAGTTACAGGTGTGGAAAAAATTTGATAAAAGCTGTGTCCCTTTTAGCAGGAAAGGTAATTATTATGTGCAATTCGAATCATGTGCTTCGTCTGTTCTTGAAGAGACTACTTAATCCACGCTCGGCGAGGCAAGATAATCGATAGAACTTGAAGTAGAGATGGTGTACATTTTTTGGTAGCCTTTAAAAACTCAAACAAGTCGACCAAACTTCTCACAACGAAGCACTTTGGTTTGTTCATTAAATTGTTAGTATATCTTAGGCATCGTATCGAATCTCGTAAAAATAGCTGCATTAATTTTCACTTGACAAAACAACCAACTAAGCGATTCCTTATTAAACAGAATCACTTGATCGTCTAAATCAAGAAATCATAAAAAAATCATAAACAATCGAAACAAAATGTATTCCTAATACACCTAATCTTTGATAATAGTATTTTTACGTAATATAATCTACCCTATGTAATATTTACTAGAAAATTAATAGACAATTATCTGGAAAGAATTTCATTGAACCCTCATCCGTCCCTCAGTTTCGCATCTTAATAGGTCCCTCGGTGTTAATTTGACACATTGGTAAAAATCAATGAAATGAAAAGATAAAGAATTAATTTTGTAAATTCTTTTATTAAATATAGAAAATAAAGGAAAAATTGTTTCTACAAATAGCCGAATAATACAATCTTTTACCGGAAAAATGTGTCAAATTGACACGAGGGACGGATGAGGGTTAATTGAAAAGAGGAAAACGAAGGAAATGAAAATAGAATAAGTATAAGGCAATTAATAATATCGAAGATTATGCGAATACGAATTCCAAGGGTATCTAAGGGCCTACATCTTGATCGCTATTCACGTGACGCTTTGTGGACAAGTCTAGATTAGGTTGTACGTATACCTACCTGATTCTAATCCGAAAACGAAACAATTTCGCGGTTTCTGGTGAAAACAAAATGTTAAGCACGTACCATATGTTCGTAAATCTCATCGGCTATAATTGGTATGTAGTAACGAGCGGCGACGTCGAGAATATCAAGTGTGTGAGTCCGGCTAAATACGGAGCCGCACGGATTCGAAGGATTGTTTACAATGATCGCCGCCGTAGATTCGTCGATCTGCGATTCCAGATTGTCCAGATCGATCTCCCAGCCGAACTTCGGCTGAAAATGTAAACAACTGATGTTAATCAAATTTGCCGCAAAATAGAGCAGTGTTTCTTCAGTTGAGAGTCATGATTCATTGACCACTCTTTAAATTAATATAGTGGGTTTCGATTACCAAAAAAAAATATTTTATTATGTAGAGAGTGCGTCTGAAAGTATTGTACAAACGGGCAACAGGTGGTTCCTTGTACGAAAATAAACAATAAATGTAAAGTTTTTTTCATTCGAGATTTAGAGTTTGAGAAAATCTTAGTTTGCACCATTTTCGGTCATTTCTTAATTGATATAATGATATATTGTTGTTAATATCTGGTCGTTTTTCTCTCTTCAACCTGGTAACTACATTAAAAGTAGCGCAGACTTTGTATACAAACTCCATAGGCATTGCATGACGTTTGACGAATTGTATCATAGCTATTTACATACACTCCTATGCATAAGTCATGAGACACCTTATCGTTTTACCGTATGAACCGTTCTACTGATAACAATTATATTTAAGGAATATATTTTTATTGATAAGGCTGGTATTTTACAATTAATACAAAATATACTGAAATACAGTAGAGGTGATGTTGGATCGAGCCTACCTCGAATAATCGAAAACTCGGATAATAGGGAAGGATCGACGGGTGATCATAAAAAACATTTGGATAATGTAAAATTGCACATGTATTTAGGTTTGATTAACTGTTTATCAATTAAATAATAATATTCTACATGTATTTCAGTTTAGTTAACCATTTATTAAATAGTTAATATGAAAATGCTTTTCATGATTTTATTGCACGATTTATGAACACCCATCGACCCTAAAAAATAATGTAATTTTTTCATATTATTTAAGTTCGAAGCACCTCGGATAATACGGAATCTCGGTTAAACGGGACTCGGAGTAGACTGCCAAAATTAGTTAGAGCCATCATAGATATGTGTATATTACCGCAGAGTTTGATGTAAACCCAATGACTTCTACTTTGTCATGTCTACACTGTAATGTTGAAACGTAACATATTCTTTTGACAGTGTATCAGGCAAACTTGAAGGATACTCGAATAAACGTGTTTCTAACAATACCGTCGTAGACGTTTATCCACGCTTCGATTACTTCAAATAGCGACGAGAAAAATATAGAATGTGCAACTTTGTAAAAGTACAAAATGCTTTAAAATTGAAATGTTACATAAACGCAGGGAAAAAATTCTTGAAAGTGTCAGAATCCATTCGCTTCTCAGTGGAAACAATGATTATCCTAAAATGTGCAGCTTCATAAAAATACCCAATTTTTAAAAATTGAAGCCTTATATAAATGCAGGAAAAAATTCTTTGAAAATTTCAAAATCCATTTA